GCCTATAGGGCATATGAATAGGCACCATTGAAATTGAATTTATCATTGCACTTGTAGTCTTCTCTTCTAATTAAAATCTTCTAAAATCTTTCATCAATAGTTGAATTTGTCATTGCATTTCTAAAATCTTTCAAACTGATAATTTTAAGAATATTTCAACGTGAAAATTGCTTAGAGCCAAAAACATCTGTATGAAAATTGCTTGAATCCTGTATGATAATGAAACATTTCCCACCTATTTTCTTGATATTATTTTGGAGCATAATCAATTACTTAGGAAATTTTTCCCTATAATAAAGGTTTTTGGGCCTGAAAAGTTGGTTCTGCACTTCTTGATGATGATGAGACACAATGAGTTGGGCTCATATATAACATGTAAGGATGTGGAATTTGATTGTTGGCCCAACCCAAATGCTCCTTGAACTTGTGATCCTTACGTGTTCCTGGGAAAACCTTCAAGGTCAAAAGTTAAAACTTGTTAAATTTGAAGTTTTATCCATGAAACAAACGGGGTCAAAAGTCCAAGAATCCACAACCTTCAAGACTATTTTTGTAAATCATTCATTTTCAAGTAACTAAAGAGCAAAACTCTATGACTGAAAAAGAGACGAAGAACAAAGAATCTATACACATGAAGGGTGTCAAATGGATGAGTTGAGTTGAATTTGAATAGATCAAAATAGACCGATCAACAGTATGTCAAAAAACTATTTGGGCTAAAATAGATGGAACTAAAATGAGCTGAAGAGCGTAACCCAACTCATTCAATTATATTTGAAACTAAGTTAATAAAAGATAGGAAGTGTTGTTATGTACAATTTTACTTCAGCTCCTATACAATATTTCAACTTCTTTGAATAAACTGTACTCTTATTTTCTTTGAAAGCTCATATTTATTTATTTTAGTTTTTCATCTGGTGTTCGGTACCCACATTGAAGGCCAACTAAATTTGGATTCGCGTTGGAAGTCCCATATTAGGGTAAATCGTTCCCTAACAAAGGCGACTCCGTACCCACGAGACTCAAAGCCAAAACTTCTAATTAAGGATGAATGAGTACTTGTCAATGCTTGTGTACCTTTCATTTTTATCAATCAAAAGGAAAATATAAATACCAGCTAAAAACCTTTTCATAAATAATCATTATGAATAGATTTATGGTGAGTGAGTGAGTGAAAATAAAATGCGTAATTTACTTCGAAATTACGATTGTTCATTAAAATGACAAAGAGGAAAATATATTAAAAGAAGTATTTATTTATTTTCTTAAAAAAACAAGCTTTAAACTTGTGAATTTATCTATCCAATCTTCTTTCCAATCTTCATTTTATAATAAGTGTATGTATGTGTACTTCTTCATTTTGGTCCAATATAGTTTGGTGTTTCGTAAAGTCAAGAAGACCTTAATTTTTTAATTTTATTTAAACAAAAAAAATATTACATAACCAAAAAATCATTAAAGAACTACTTCTTTTCTTTTAGAAGTGAATAATTTGATGTGCACTAGCTAAAAACACCAGAATACTAGTTGCTTCAATCCATTTTACTTGTCGTGCTTACTAAAAATAAATAATTTAAAATAGTTGTCATCTTGAAAAATCAAGGTATTATTAATTGTTTGTTTTCCATCTTTTATTTATCTTGGTCATAAATATGGAAACATATTAATGTGGTGCAAATGAGAGAAGTATTTGTTCAGTTCATACTATACTAAAAATAGATGTTCATTTTTACTTGTATAGTTTGAAAATCAAATTTATCATTTTAGTTCCTACCTTATTGATAACTATAGTCTTCTCTCAATGCATTTCTCAAACTATTGAATTAATTATATTCAAAGAGTGATATAGTAAAATTGATATTCTATTTATTGTTCCTTAAAGAATGTGTCAAGTCAATACTTGACAAATACAATAGATGGAGATAATATTAAATTGGGAAAAGTAATAAGTAAATAAGAATAATTTAGTTAAACTATTGTTTAATTAAAATTTTATTAAAGAGTGCAAAACAAAACATGATAAGTATCCATTAATTGCCACACTTTAAGTTGAGTTGTAGAGAATGGAAAGTAGGGAAAATGTCATAATGATATCTCGAATTCTCGATACGAAGTGGATAGCTCATTGCCCATAAGTCAAAGAGGAAAAGAGCAAAAATAAATTAAAATATGGATTTTATAAAAAAAAAAATCCTTTTTAAATTTGGTGAATTTATTAATTTATTACTTCTTTTTTTTAGAATCTTTTTGGTGGTTCCATTCATGTTCATTGTTCATAGTTCAATTGGCAAAGTCAAAGAAAAGATCAAGTTTCTACATTGTCATGCAATCAAAACAACAAAGTCAATCACCTTTATTAATGGATAGTAAAATATTGATTTTTTTCTACCTTACCTAAGTATTTAATGGGGGATCAATAAAGTTTGCTACAGAATTTTTTTCAATAGTAGAGAATGATGCACTTCCTTTTTGAACATTCTGAAGGGTATATTTTTAAGTGATGGGTATTTTTATTACAGGTGGACTCAAAATCTGAAGACACCTAAGATATTATAAGAGGCAGATGCATGTTAATCAAAATGGTATCACACGATATATTGTCTTTGTAGAAAATGTTATTAAAAACATAAAAAAAACTAATGTACTACATAGATATAAATTAACCGATAAAATAAAGTAACACGATTCATAATGTGGATTAATACACCTTAACTTTACTTTACAGACATCATAGATTTTCAAATGTTTTTGGTAAATATTATTTGAGTGAAATTTCACTATGTGTTTGGACATAATATTTGAGAAACGTATTTTATTTTACTTTTAAATATGATTTATACCCATAAGTTTTAAAAAATATCAAAACTAACGATAGGTTTGTATTACATAGCAAGTTAGAAGCGTCGACGCAACAAGATTCATGACTTCCGCAACAAGTCAATTGGATCTTCGTTGTAGCAAATAACAAATAGTGTCCATGACACTAGAGCAATGTGATAGTTCGAAGTGAGTGCAAGAACCATCATTCCATACATCATGAAGTAGAAGAAGCACATGACTTTGTTACCCTAAGCTAAGGCTGGGCACCAGACCGGATTGTACAGGTATCGTTCCGGTCCGGTAGTATTCGGGACGGAATGGGATACATTGAACCGGTACTCAAAACGGGACGGTATTATGATTTGGTACCATTATATCTGTTCATCCCGATTTCGGTCCGGTCCGTGAAATTGGATTGATTTTTTAATTTTTGTCATTGCTTTATACTTTTATTAGCATTTCTTTTTTGTTTATTTAATTTTTTAAAATTACAAACTTAATTCATCAACTTCAAATAATATAAACCTAAAACCTTTAAAATTTAACAAATTACAAACTTAAGTTATTTAAATTATAAGTTATAAGTTATAACATATAACATAACATATAACTTATAAACTTCAAAAGATTCAAATCTTGAAAACTTAAAACATAAACTCAAAAACTTAAAAAAAATAACTTTATTAAACTTTGACTTACAAACTTATAAGTAATTTTTTTTTAAAAATATCTTTAAAAATAAACTTAAGTAAAATTACAAATAAACATCATAAATTTCAAAACTTAAATACTTTATAAACTATTAAACTTAGAAAAATAAAAAACATTCATGTTTTCGTAATTCAAAATAACTCAAAAAAAACTATTTTTTGAAATAGTTATATGTGCCGTCCCGTTTATACCATTTCGGTCCGTTCCGGTTCTATCCCGGTATATAGTGGGACGGGACGGAACTGAGTTTCCCTCCCGATAATTCTGGTCCAGTTCATCCCGGTACCAGTCAACAACCCGGTCAAACCATCCTGGTCCGGTTCGGTACTGGTTCATTCCAGTCCTGTGGTCCCACTCCGGTCCGGTGCCCAGTCTTACGGCCTGAGCCGATTGTTTGCATTTTCATCAACAATCATCTCATCACTGAATATTCCATCACTCCTTTGGTGTTCATGTAAAAGATTATGTAATACAACACAAACAACTACTATAGAGGGTGTTTTTGTAAAAGATAAAAGTTTGGTGTAGAATTTGAAATTTTAAAAGCTCCCAAATAATGAGATTTGGCCGAAATACTAATTTTTTCTAGTATTTGGGAATTTGAGTTATTTGCCAAAAATATTTACAAAATAATGACAAATTATATAAACGAACACTATTTGCCAAACTGTTTCCAAATTTTTACTTGAAAAATCTATGACCGAACGGGTCCTTAGTTCCTCAAACTTCAAAAGGGGGGCTTTCGAAGAGGTGACACGTAATTATTTCACTTTTTTGAGTTCACAATATTTTTAAAATGATGAAATTAAAAGGGTATTGCTATTATATTGAACTTGCTATTCGTTGATGGGATTGCTTTTATGGTCAAGACCTCAAGTTATACACAAAAGTAAAATACAAATAATCTACTTCTTAGTCTAAGCTTTTATGAAAGTTTGATCAATTAATAAACAAGTTCCCAACGTGTAAACAAAAGATTAGATGAAACAAATCGGACATACTTCATTATCAAAGCAAATAATTTTAGAATCGAAAAACATTTTTAAATTTTTTGTATTTCAATTTTTTACCAATTTATTTCTTGATGGAATATTTCAATACCCAAGTTTTAGCTTTACAAATTTAAGGTCGTGATTTGCTGTTCCTCAAGTGAGACCAAATCCCCATTGTCGAATGACTCAATTTCAAGTTCTCGCTTCCAACCCACGAGAACACGAAACATAGTAGAGCTACTAACAGTTAGAAGCACATTTGCAGAAATTAGACCATCATCATATGTATGAGTGCCCTAAACAGTGAGTAACTTTGATCAATAATATATTAATCAATATAAGATAATGAATTCTAGCTACAATCTATATGTTAAATCAACTAAAACAGTTACTAGAAAAATATCAACTTTGAAATTAAGCTAAAATAAACTAATGATTATGCAGGTCAGGGTGATTATTTATGCCCAAACAAACATATGTTAATGTTAGTTATCATGCCTTAGAATTATCCTTATCCGACGTATCAAATTCATAGGATGAATCTTTTCTACAACTCCTAACTCGTAAAAGTCCATATAGCTTCTTGAACTCTCTGAGATTTTCTCTGCAAAAAATACCCGACTCACCCGTTTCCTCCGCGGTTCGAACCGACCCACTCTCGCTCAACCGCCGTGCATGCCGAGTCGCCGCCCTCGACTCGGTGTTGATTTGCAGAGCTGAAATGACTGTTTTCAATGCCCGAGTCGGCGAGCTCCGGTTCGATATCATAATCTCGCCGATTTCAGCCGGGCTGAGAGCCGCCCCGGTTTGAAAAATCTCCTCTACCTGTGGGAAAAGCTTGTGATCTTTTAAACCCAAATGGCTATTCGCTAGGGTTTTGAAAGAGTTGAAATTACATAAAGGAAAGTGTATGTGAACGTCGATTCTTCCTGGACGGAGGACCGTCGGATCAATTTGATCTTTGTTGTTGATGGTGAATATCATGATTCGCTCTTCCCCACAACACGAGAATATTCCATCCATAAAGTTGAGAATTCCAGATAAACTTGGAGCCGTTGATTTGGTCCCAATGTAACTATCGAGATCTTCGATAACGATTAGCGACTTGCTCGTTGTTTGTAACAGAAGCATTTTCAGATCCGAATCGTCAGTGACTTTAGATAAATCGACGTCGTACACGTCGTAGTTCAGCAAATTTGCTATTCCGGCGATGAACGTTGATTTGCCGGTGCCGGAAGGTCCGTAGAGGAGATAACTCCGTTTCCAAACTTTGCCGAGTCGGTGATAGTACTGTTTTGATTTTTGAAACGATTCCAAATCGGATTTCACCTTGTTTTTGAGATCCATGTCCATCACTACCGTATCAAAAGTTGCTGGATGTGTGAACGGCACTGATCTCCACCGTCCGTTTCTCTGAGGTTCATTATCTACATTGACGAATAATCTCACCTCCTTTTTCCTCTGCTCAATTTCATCGAACACAGAGTGTATACACTGAAGGTAAGGCTGGAGAATTCGACGCTTATCCTTTTTCCTAATCTTCATGACAAGCGATTTCAAACCAGTAAATTCATCCTTTTCATTGATCCAGAAAACTCTAGCGCTGAGGAACTTGTCAACAACAATCTGATTTGAATCCAAAACGAGGCTAATTTCATTGGACTTGTCGCCGGAGATTAGGTTGGTGAAATCAGAATCTTCAACACAGGGGAGCGAATTCAGATAAGTACAAACTTTTCGATACAATTGATTTTCCTGCATGTTGTGATTGAATTGCGGTACCCTGTAGAACTGATAGACATAACAACCATCCTCCAAAAACCTCCACCATTTTTTCACAATTTGCAGTAAAGAAGTTTTCAACAGAATCTTCAGAAACAAACCTGAAGCAATTATTGCAATCAAATACCAAAACATGATTGAAAAAAAAAAAGTAAAAATCAAACAGTGTAATGAAGTATGATGATGGAAAAGGGAATTTGAGAGGAAAATGATGATGGGAAGGTGGATGAAATCATGAAGGATGTTGTAATAATGAATGTATATTATATACTAATATAAAGTGATGAGAAAAGCATAAAGAAAGGAGTATATAGTATAAATAAATTTAAGGGGATGGGGAATTGGCAGGTCACAGCACATTAATTATTTTAATGAATGAGTCTTTATTAATTTGTTTGATTGAATTTAAGAGACGGCTTGCAGACGGGGACGGCATAATTTGCTAGGTTTAATTGGTCAAATGAGATTTATTTTATATCCTATTTTTTGTTTAATGATTTGTTTGTGGAAATTGATCTATTATAATCGTAGTTAGTTAGAAATTAGAATTATAGAGGCACTAATTATGTAATAATACACCAATTCCTTTATAACTTATTCCATAAGTAATATATACTACATTTAGTAGCGAGTTATTAGGATGCAAGTTATTTATTTACTTCTTTCGTATGAGAATAAATTATATTTTTTTTCTTTTTATTCTATCAAGAAGATTTGATTTTTTTTCGTTCAAAATTATCCTTGTTTTAATACATGGAATTTTACACCATTAACTTAAAAGAGTCACTTCTTTTTCCCTTCATTTTATGATAGGTAAGATAGTAAAACACTTCTTATTTTTAGGGGTGAGTAGTTTTTATAAGCAACATATAATATGAGGAAATCTATGTTTTATATTATACAACATATAAGGTGTCTTTATAAAAGAATACATAAATTTTATCATAATTTAATCCTACACTACTATTAATATCGATATAACTTTAACCAGTGACCAAACTATTCCTTACAAATTAAATAGAAAAAGAAGAAGTCATTTCAATCTTTTATATATAAAAATAATTTTTTTATTATATATAGAAGTGAACGTTCTCTTATGAAAAGGACATAGAATTAAAAATAAATTTATGAAGGACCGGAGAACAAAATCTTCCGTTTTCTTCGATGTGCTGCTTATCTGACTAAACAATTTGTACATGTGAGACCAATTAAGGTAATACAATATTTTTTATGACTAGTAAACATACTAATTAATGTATTCTAGATTTCCAGTATATTATTAGTGAGGAGGACTAGAGATTTATTTCCTTGTGATTTCCTATTAAAAGGAGTATATTTTTCAATCTTAATTATTCCAGGTGGTCATATTTGATTTTGACCAATATAATCGAAGCATCGTTTTTTCCATTTCAGCAGCAATCCATGTACAAATTAAAAGTTGCGTTCAATATTCAAATTGTTTTATCCGCTTTATTATATGCTTGTATCCATTTATGTCTTTTACTGACATTCTTCTTTCTCTTTTCCCAATAAAAATAATGGAATCATTTACAGATTCGTTTTCTTATTTCTATGCACGGGAGGGGGAAGACTGAAAGACAAAAAAAAAGGTATTTACAAATTACACATACTCAGTGGCGGATCCAGGATTTAGAGTCCGTGGGTGCCAAATAGACTTATCGATTAAATTAATTTTATATTTGATTAAATTATTTGTCTTTTCGATATATATCATAAATCAATCAATAAAATATAAATAATAAGCTATTACACTTTTATTGAGTATTTAATCAAATAAAAGAAAAGTCAAAGGAGTAATAATGTAATTAATTTAATTTAAGTCAATAACAATTATAAAAAAATAAAAATAAAAATTGTGCCAACTGTTTTTCCTTAAAAAAACGTGCTTGGAGCCTTTTTTTTTTCTTAAAAAACGTCTGCATCAAATTTCTAAAAAAAATAGGTACAAATGGGATTCGAACCCGCAACATCAGCCTTCTAAAGTTGCCCTCCTACCATGGCACCACAAGACAGTTTTGTTCTGTGGGTGGCACGCTTTATATTTATATAAATATTATATATATATACACCTATGTATATATAGAGTTTCCGTCGAAGTTCAGGGGTGGCGTGGCACCCCCAAACCTCTGCATAGATCCGCCACTGCACATACTCATATTTAATTTTCACTTAGCTGAAAATGCATACATGTCAATTAAAATAATCAGACATAATATATTAATGTGTCCTTTAGCTTGACATCAACTAACATTTATGTTCTCTAATTCTAATTTTGGATGTGCATAAGTATGCACTTAAATTTGTATAAAATTGAATAAATAGACACATTCATCCTACATGATAATTTTGTCTACGTGACGTCTTACATGTATTATGCCACGTAACAATACGTACATCTATTTGTTCAATTTTATACAAATTTAAGTGTTATGATATATAGATGTCAAGTTAAAAAATATATTTATGTATTACTCCCTCCGTCCCTATTTAGTTGTCCATATTTCCTCTTTTAGTTGTCCCTATTTAGTTGTCAATTTTGACAAATCAAGAAAGGACAACAACTTTTTTCCTATTATACCCTTATTTAAATAGAGTTGTCATAAATAAAGTAAATAAACTTATGAACTTCCCAACATTAATTAGTTATCTTGAGTTAATTTATTTTGGAATTGTAAATTGTACTATAATGGTAAAATTGTAACTTCACTATGCTAATCATTGTTGCCTTAATTTGTGTGCCATTTTCAAAGTGGACAACTAAATAGGGAAAGAGGGAGTATGTCAGATAAGTGTTGAAAACTTAAAATGCATAAGGTGTGTGTTATTATTATGTTTGGTATAAATATACTTAGTGTGAAGAATAAGCAGATGTGGGACTGTAGTATTAGGCTAAATTTGACGTTTGAAATAAAAGAATGTTTGGACAGTTTCAACCATGATATATTTTCAACAACACCAAAAACTTTGTCCTACGACTTTTAATAGTTTGAAATTAGGTTCAGTAGGTCTAAATTCAACAAAGATTAGTCTACTTGAAAATTCGTCTACATAATAAAGAGTTTTCACGTTATGTGAACGTTTTATTTGGAAATTAACGTGGGTGAGTAGTGTATATGCTTTTTGTTGTGTTTTTGGCCAAATTAAGTGTCTTAATGTTAAGACTGAAAGTCCTTTTTTTTTCTTTTTTTTTTTCAATTTGACCATTTTGTATTTGAAATTATTAATTCGACTAATTTATATATTTAGAAATTATGTAAAATTATAAATCATAATAATTATAATTAACGAGTTAAAAAGATTTCTAAAAAATAGTAAAACATTTGATTGACTTTCTAAATTTCATCAAGACCACAAAATTGGAATAAAGGGAGTAACATATATTATGTGGAATTAACTTTAGAACTATTATAAATTGTAATAATTAACAACTTAAATATCTAAAAACTCTATAAAAGATTTTTGGTTACTCTCGAAACTCCACTTATACCACATAAATTGGGACAAAAAGAGTACCATATATCACGTAAAAATTACTATAAATCACAATTTAAAATATTTGGCTGACTCTCGAAATTTCATATGTATATAGAACAGATGGAGTAACAGATATTATGTGAAAATTGGATAAATTATACTATAAAATCATAATAACTGACAACTTTAAACATATAAAAATTTAATCAACTTCACATTTCATTCGTGTCACATACATTTAACACAGAATGAGTAATTATGATCGCAGGCTCTGTATCTAATAGTTCTCCTAAAACATGTTTAAAAGTAGTCCATGTTCAGAACCTACTTGTCCAACCATACTCAAGGTGATAAGATTCAAATCAACTGACATCTTTTTTACCCAATAGCGAAGTCAGAGATTTTGTTAAGAATATTCAAATCTAATATATATGTATGAAAAATAATTTTTGATTATACTTCATATAAATTTTCATATATATAATTTTAATTTTTTCGATTTGACCACCTTGAGTTTTATGTGGCTATGCTACTGTTTTTACCATAAAGTATTTTCCTGGTAAAGCAAGAAAACGAAAATTGTTTAGTTAATATTTGCATACATCATTGCAAGTACTAAATAAGATTCGGATCAATTGGTTTGGTGTGTAGTGCTATTAAAGCTTTTTGTCCAGAGTCTTATAACTGTTGCTTTGCATTTGTACATGAACACAGCAATGAGTGCCACAGACTCACAGCAACCAAAGTAATCCCAAAAGGCCAAAACTTAAAGAGGCAAAAGGACATGACAAAGCAGAAGGGTAAAACAGCAAGTTCATTCTTCCCATGCTGACATTTCTTTTTGACATTTTGAATCAAACATTGATTAGCACTACAAAAAATACCAACTAATTTCAGGGGGGCGTTTGGTGGTGGAGATGGGGGCTACAATGGGTGGAGGTGAAGATGAGGTGCCTTAAGAGGATGGGGAAGACACAATCAATGTAAACATGTTTTTCCTACTTCAATTAAGGGAGTCATTTTCCTAATTGTTAAGCAACTTCTTTTTTTTTCCTGAAAAATCTTTTTCTCCATACCGAACACACCATAAAAGAACATGTAGACTCGAATGAAGGCTAAGCTTTTGGTATCAATGAAGTGGAGAAAAATCATACAAAGAAAAGTTGGAATTCACATTTCAATTAAGACAAAAATAAAATATATTTTAAGTAACTTAATTTTATCCGTCCAAATTTTGATGATATTGGTACAAGATAACAAGTGTGGTGAACAAAATAATTGATATAAAGAAAAACGTGCAAGTGATAAAAAGAGTAGTCACTGCCCATCATCCCTATAGAATTCAGCAATGATTGTTCTTGTTTTAATTGCTGAGATTTGATTAACTTTAGGATACACTAGGGGGCCTAGGCAATCAGCAGTTATGGGCCTTATGTCAAAGGATTCAATAACCTACACAAGTGTCCCAATTGAAGTCGAATACTATTTCAAATTACAGCAAAGTTCTGATCAACTGGAGATGAGATATATATATATATATATATTCTCCTTTCTATAAAGAACAAATATTGTAATTTCACATATATGCATGCAAGTTCTCAACACCAACCCAATACTACCACCCAGGATGGAAAAAAATATGCCATTTTTTACCACTATGCCGTGAAAATCATGCAATGCTCTTACAAGTTAATAGCTGAACTAAGTGGTCTAAAGGAATTCTGCAACATCCACAATAGCCACCAAAAATGAATAAATCAAACTTTAAACAGACTGATAAATTATAGGAAATCATATAGCTAATTAAGAATCCTAGTTATCTGACTGGAGATTCAGAATATGGGAAACCACAAGCTTAGAAATCTTGTTAATTGCAGAATCTGAATCTGCATGCCTTGAACTTAACCTGCTGTATTCACTTGCAGCAACCTTTGTCTTTTTCGACGTAGCTAAAGCCTTTTCCAAATCCAATTCCAACAGTGGCCTCGGCTCCTGCTTTAAGAGAAATAAGGATACTTAGACCCAGCCTAACCAAGACAAATTGCCAATGCCCCTCTCTTTAAGCAACCTTGTTACTGTAATTCGATAGCTTAAGAGCTTATAGCTCTTTTAAGCAATAACTGTATGGCAGTTGCAGAGTTTGTTTAGAGAGAAAACAAAAAGAAACGAAAAGATCCTTGACTAGTCCTTCTGTTTCTATATTTAATTTTCTTGTGGTGCCTGTTACATAGTTAAATTTGACTCCTAAATCTGTTTGATATCCAGAAAATTCAAAAGGGTAGCATGTATAAAGGAGATTTCATTGTTCAGTATCAGAGGAGACATCTGAGAAGTTCCCTTTCTAGAAAGAAAGACAACACTATCTGCAGTGTACAGACATGTTTTTAGGAGGAGGTCGAAACAGTTCAAGTGGACTAGCTGTTCCTTGTAGCCCAAAAAGCTGTACTTCAATCTTAATTTTTCCCTATCCTTTTTTTATACGTGCATTCATCAGATAAGGCAAAGTCCCTAAAACTACATTTGTGTCAGTAACCATCATTTAGCAACTTTTTCTGAAGGAGAGTACAACTTCAAAATAGAAATTTGAGAAAAAGAATACAATACTAACCGCTGTTAGCTTTCCACTCTTCTCATCATTAAGCAATTCCCGGATGGGGAAGTAGGCAGCTTTTTTACATAGCTCTAGAAGATCAGAACCAGTGTATCCATCACAGAGACTAGCAATGCCGTCATAGTCGATGTTACCTTCTACCTTCTCACCCCTCAGGATCACCTTCAAAATCTCAGTTCTTTCTCTGTGGTCAGGCATTCCAATCTCAAAGGCTTGAGGAAGACGTCGAAGAATTGCTTCATCAAGCTCAGATGGCCGATTAGTAGCAGCAAGAACCATAACCCGTGCATTTTCTACATAAACATAACCACAGTAAATAAAGTCACCAGAACTTCCTTGGCTAAATCATTAACTAGATAAAAGACAACCATCTCAAATTGCATAATTTCTTGGGGAAATGTTGCAATATGCATGATGGTGATGAGAGCTACTAAATAAAGAATCATCTCATTAAGGGGTGCACCTACGATCTGTGGTAAAACCATCCCATAAAGCCATGAATTCAGTCTTCATGTTTGTTGACGCCTCATTGTCAGTAGACTTGCGCTGACCCAAAAAGCTATCCACTTCGTCAATGAATATAATTGCTGGCTGAAGTTTATGCGCCAAACTAAACACTGCAGCAACTGTATAAAATATAGACGGAGAAATCAATGAAGAAGTCTTAACATCAAGTTGAATAACTAACCCTAAATGAACCACTTTTTTGAGTCATTTAATACAAATCTGTAACACAGGCAATCACACGTAGAATTCTAAGAACAACTAAGACTACAATAAGATTGTTTCTCCTTCAGAGCTTTAAACAACCTCATCTTGTTTTTTTCTTTTGGGGGGTAGGGGTGGGGGTATTTGTAAGATTTCTTGGTGAAATTTTTATGCATTTATTTCTATAGCATAACTAAAGTTTCTCCCAAGAAACACCAAACTTACTTTTGTTATTAAGACAATGAACACCTGCCACCAATATTCAAACCGGAATCAAACCTCATGTCAGACAAAAACACCTTATACTTTTGCTCCTTGGCTTCAGTTTAAAGGGACTGCCTATGGTATGGAAGTCCACCTATATTCATATTAGTGTCGCCTATTCAGAAAAGGCTCATTGTCAAGGCAAAATATGTCTTAGAACCTTGATGACAATACAAAAGCACCCTTAAGCGAGGCAAAGCGCTCAATACGTTTTGAGCGTCACTTCAGGGCTGAAGCATGCTTTAAACAAGCCTTTGACAAAACTAGTCAATCAACATCCATCCAAATTAGTTGTAGTCAGTTATGTGCATTCTTTGTATCCTTCTGCTCTATTTAATTCCATTCCATTCCGATACAAAATAGAGCATCTTTAACTACATTTTGCACCAACTGACAACCTACAACAATCTTCGTTACTTATCAAGTGCTCTCACTTGCCACTAGCCTCTCCTTGCAATATTTTCCCTTCATCCTTCCCTCTTTTCCAAAATGTCTCAATGTTGATGTCACCGGCAAACACTACTCCGTGTTATGCAATCCACACTCTCCTCTCCGAGTTTCATTTTCATCTCCCCCTCTAACATCATGCTGTCTCACCTCTCCCTCTTTCCAACTAAGGTGGAGCCTCAAGATTATTTTATAATAACAAAGAAACCCCCCAGGGTATTGGCTCACGGTGACACAGTGGATAATGGGCCCATCAGTCTATTCTTCTTCACTTAAATATTAGGCTTTTATCTGCAGTAAGGCTCAAACTTGTGACTTGCACCTGACCCACACATCAGCATTTTTCTCTTATCACTAGACCAATGCCCGAGGACTGTGGAGTCCCAAGATTTAACTAACCCAAAATAAGAAAAAAGAATTTGTAGATCAGATGTGGTTTGCAGTTATCACTTCATAGTGGTAGATAGAAATCTACCATCAGCTTCTTGCAACCATTGTTAGTAGAGTTCTTCCAACCCAAAGATGAATGGGACAATACCTACAATGTCTACACAAATATTCCTATAAGAAGTGTAGGACAAGAAACCTGATAATTGCTTTTTTGATGTTCCAACCCTTTCTCCCTCTTCACTTCTATTATTTTTGTTTTGATAATCTATGATTCTTTACCCTATTCCTATAAGTCAGAAATGAAGCATGCACTTAAAAATTGTCTCTTATTGCAATAATCATTATACTTGTGTTTTATATCCTCATGTTGCGCAAGTTTGGACTTCCCATGCTGATTCTTGGATTGTTATGCAAGAAACTTGTTTGAAATTCGTTAGCAACTGAACAGGTTACTCTGTGGATCAAAGGTTACAATATTGAAAGAACTACTTCTAAACTGCCGAATCAGCTCAAACCAATGCAGTTGCAAATCCTAGTAGAATATGTTCACTTCGAAATTTTGATTTCAAAAACTACCAATGGGCAATGACAGCTCCATTTGAGATTTTATGCAAAGAACACCCAGGAAAAAACGGTGCGCGCTCTACTCTTTACCCTACTCAATAAGAATAAATCAGAAGGAGAAGAACATCAAACGATAGACAAAAGAAAAAACTTCAATCGAAAGAGAGATGTATCTAAAAGTGCATTTCATGACTTGGTCTTCCTATTGTGCACAGAAATATGGAAAGAATGCAATCAAAACTTAGCAGAAGAGACTTGAAATCAAGTTTTTGTTTATTCCCTAAAAGACTTTGTTTGAACGAGATAACTCCATAAAGAATGATAACTACACAACTGTTATGGACTGCCCAAAACTAAGCAACTCCTCCTCTGATGAATTTTAATCCCCTCAAAAAATAATATACTAATAAAGTTGCAAAACACTAGGGTCTCTTGGATATCTTATTCACAGTGGAATAATGCTTGTCGAGCCTGAATTACAATTGAGACAATATTCACAGGTAAAACAAGGGCCAAGCAAATTTGAATGATCAAAACAAGGAAAGATAATGCAGAGAAAGAATCTTGAAAGAGTAAGGACAAGATCTAACTCACCGAGTTTTTGGGCATCACCAAACCATTTGCTCATCAAATTCGATGTTCTCACGTTAATAAAAACAGCACTTGATTCCTTAGCAATTGCTTTGGCAAGCATTGTCTTTCCAGTTCCAGGGGGTCCATAGAGCAAAACTCCTTTTTGAGGACCCAGAAGCTTCCCATGAAAGAGTTCAGGCCTCCTCAAGGGAAGAATTACCAATTCAAATAGAGCTTGTTTAATAGATTCCAATCCACCAATGGAATCAAATTCCACATCTATATGATCAGGGTTGATTACATCACAGGCTATAACATCCTGTTGACAAGGCATAAGGGGGCTTAAATAATTCAATATGAAAATGATTGCTTTTGACTGCACATTACCAAGCATACCAATAAGGAAATATAGCATACCAAATTAATAAAGCATGTAGTTATAATTAGTTATCATAGCATCCTTGTGAACCAAATTATTTCAAGGGGAAAAAGCTCTCGTAGACCAGTAGGGAAGTGATCACAATCAACCAGCACACAAATTTGATCCTAGCTCATCAAGGAATATTAAATTAAAATGAAATATACGATCATCATGTAAATCAGACTGAGTGACATGGAGGATGAAATAAGCAGTGCAAGTTTTAGGAACTTTGGGTTCCAGTGCATATGGTATCAACGGAAATGTTCTCCATGGAAGGTTTTGGAAATTAATGTCTATCATTTTTCCATGTTTGGTTGAATATATAGATATGGTAATCCTACAAGATTGAGGAAATGAGAAACGGATAGTGTTTTAGTAAAATCTGAAACAGTGTCTAATTGTTGGTTGAAACAAGTGATTTTTTTGAAAAGAAGCAAGTGAAAAAAAGTAAAGAGTTAAGATAATTATAAAGAAAAGGAACTTCCTCCCATCAATGAGGAAAGTCTTCCCATTTTGAAGTAAGACGTTTACTTTGGATCCAAGTCAGCCAAATACTTAAATGATTGGATACACTGTCCTCCATACTAAACACAGTCTGTCTGTTTGACAAGCACAATGCCATGATTATTGCTCGACCAACAGATTGTTCACTGAATAAAGGATGGTCAACTCAACTTCATACTAATTAATAGTAGCATATTTTACCATAGAGACTCAAACTTTTCTATTAACACTTTATTTATCCTATTGAAAAAGTTAACAAATTTATAAACAAGAAATACACTAGTAGTGTATTTCAGTAGTAATTACAGCAGTAGTATAGAGAGAACAACCAAATCACCTACACCCCTCCTAAACTGTCTAAAATATGGGTAATATCCTCCACCTCTTTGGGGAGAACATGGATACACCAAAATAAAAGGTCACTAAGCAGTTCATCTTCAAACTCCGGAAAGGGATGCTCTTGTTTTCAAAGCATCTCTGATTCCTTTCCTTCCATATTGTCCACCAAATGAAGGCAGAGACAATCTTCCATCTCTCCTTATGGCGACATATTCCCCTCTCTGTTCTGCCATGCTAGAACAACTTCTGAAGTATCTCTTGTCATGGATCAGCCGATGCCCTCAAATATGGGTAATATCTACTGCTGTGTCATAGCATTGCTCCTTCCATCTCATAACGACACATCCATGACAAGCCAATTCCCTTCCCCCACCCAAGACCCAAAAACATACACTATCTTCTTATTAAAAAGAATTAGCTAAACAAAGCCCAAAAAAAAAACCAAATTTACCAAGCTCTAAAATATAAAACCAAATATTTTTTTTAAAAAGCTGAGCGTGCAAGCTTACCCCAGGAATTTACAATTTCAGCTAAGTAGCATGCTTGTTCCATTCTAAACAGTACTACACAATAGACCATAGTGATCAGTAATGGAAATCTAAAGCAAAAAAAAAAAGTATTGGCCCAACTAAATACGGATTTGCACCCTACCCAAGTGGACTCAACCCATATCTGGTTAAGAATGGATGATCAAAACTAAGCGACCGTAACTATATGACAAAAATTTGGAAAACTGAAAAAGGGGAAATACAGAGAGGAGATTGGAGAGTAACCTCATAGGAATTGGTTTGAATGATAGGTCTACCAAGGCGCTTAGCAAGTTCCTTCTTGTGCTCAAGAGCCTTTTTGGAAGCCTGTCGATTCGGGTCAAGTTGTCGGAGCCCCACAAACAAAACAAGGCTGCTCAAAGCGGCGCTGGCCGCATAGAGCAACAGTTCTTTCAACAACTTCGTCTCCGATGAACGTCTCTTCTTCATCTTTCTTCTCACTTTGATTCACAGAAATACAATGGCGTTTCAAACAAGCAACGTCTGGCATCCATCTAAGTGTTTCAATTTTTTAGGGTTTATTTCTCATATGAATTTTCTTAACAAAGAATTTGACTCACATAATAACTGCTTTATTATCTTATCACTTCATAATTCAACTCTCAATTTATATGTTGGGAATTCGCAAATTAACATTTTAACTTGTTCCATTCTCAGTCACATGATATTATTAAAAATAGTTATCCACTTTTATATATTACTCTTGCTATGATGTGATTGGTAATTAATTTAAATTATAGCTACATTAGTTAATTAACTAATATATATTTATTTATTCACATAATTTTCCTTATTATATAGTATTACTTAATATTTTTGGCTGAAATTCATAAAATATAAAGATTAGAGTAATTTTTTCGTTTTATTTATTTTTTCATTACTGCTCATAGTAAATTCTATTCAGTTGTTATGTAATGTAAAAAAATTAAAAAGTATATGTCATCATGGTGATATTTAATCAAGATAAACAAAAACTCGAATTATGGTTTGTGCTATGATCCAAGTCGATGCATTTGGTATTTTTCATTATTTTGGGCAGTTATATTTCTTCATATTTGTACATAATGTTGAGGCCTAGGGCATATTTACCGGTTAATGGTGGATGTACCAAAAATTAAGCGAGGTTTATCACTTAATTATAATTAATTGATATTATATTTTTGTTTCACCTTTATTAATTTAGTCATAACTAAAGTACTAAAATGTGAATATGATAGTTTTTAAATTAAAAGTATGTCAAATATATCAAAATGTGATTCATTTTGTTCCTATTTAATTACTAAAATGGTAAGGTAATTTTGAATAAGAGACACTAAGAAAAAAAAATATTAACGAAGTTATTTTTATATTAACACTGGTGGCGAGAACTTCATGTTTTGTACGGACCTAATATTTATCTACGAAGTTACTTTTTGAAGCAATTTTGGTTAATGATTTTAGTTTTTTTAATCAAAAATAAGTTGGGTGAAAATGATTATCACCCCAACTTTGCTTTTAAAATCAAAATTTTCCCTCATCTTTGAATAATAACCAAATAACCAAACTCTCCCTCTATCCTAAATAAATTTTTAAAATGTCTATTATACACTTTTATTATCAACCTTTGTTTTAACTTCTGTAAAAAAAATTGTGGTATTTTCATAATTTCTAAATTCATGTAATAATTTTTCTTATAAAACATAAATATTATCTTTTGGACGTAAAAAAGTGAGAAATATTAATTAAGTATACAAGTTAATTATGTTCTATAGTGAAGTAAAATAGCATAATGAGAAAATTACTTTTATGGATATTAATCAAAACTTTAGTATTTATTTATACAAGTGAAAATAGCAGAGAATAATAACTATACAACATATTTCGTTGTAGGAAATACAAAATAATTAATTTAATCAAGGTAAAATTTTAAAAGATTTTATTTATTTATGTTTTAAATTATAATTTATGTAATATTCCACTAATACCAATCAAAACTTGTTTATTTATATAAACAATAGAGAATGTCCCCGTTATATTACTTGACCCTCATTCTAAAAATATATAGTTGTTTTAATTTACTTATCTAATTTATGAAATCAAAAGAAATTCTTGATATTTTTTGTATTTCTATCTTTAATGTCAAATAATTGCATAAAACAGTATTAGTCAAATTTAAAGTTTCAAAACATTATTAAAAATATTTGTTTAGTTAAATGCACCTTTAATTAAATTTTTCCAAGAGTTGTCATAACAAGAAGGACCAAGTAATATGAAACACATGGAGTAAGAAAGTGGAGAAAGATAAAATATACGGATACATACGCTTAATGCATATTATATAAAATAATGATCATAAAAATAATATTAAATTTTTTGACAAATTCATAAAAAAATAGTATTCTATTTATAATGTTAATGAACTTAAAGAAAAAGTTATAAATATCTAGGTAAAAAAATAAATTATATATAATATAAAGAGGTTTTACATATATGTGTGATACAACAAAAGTAAAATGAACAATGCATAGAATAAAGAAGAAGTTGGCGGAATGACCTGAGAGACCCTTGTACTTGACTCTGTTTGTAAGTTGGACCCTTGTACTTATGACTTTACCAAATGGACCCTTAAACTCGATGAAACTCTATTTTCTAAACCTCTCTGACCATTGACTGAACTTATGGGGCATTAAAATGATTGAGTTGGACAAATGCGTGACCACACGCGTTATAAAGCAAGTGAATGCAATATTTTTATTTAACATTAAATTTGGCAGCACAACTTACTTTAACACTTAAACTATACTGACGTTTAAATACCCCTTAACATCTTTGAAGTGATTTTTTTCAATCCTAATACTACAATACAAGTCTCACAATGACAAGTGTATTACACACGCTTCATTTAATTGTCACATCAACGTCACATCATTGCCACGTTAGCGCCAGACATAGAAAAAGAAGGTGAGATAGGGGATGGAAGCAGGATAGTGCTAACTCTGCATCCGCGGCTATTTTGGCTCTTTCCGGAGAGCATCAAGTCAACCGCTTTCATTTGCTTTGAGACTGACCCTCTTCCAGGCGAAAAGGGGAATGAGCTTTCCAATCGATCACACACCCGGCACAAGAGAAGCAAGGGCAAGAGAATAAATAGGCATTGGCATATTGACTACTAGAAATACAGACTATATAAGAAAAATAGGGAGGGAATGAGAAGAAAGCCTATTTGCAGGCAATAAGGATTTGTTGCCTTCTTAGTTAGAAAAAGAGAAGATCATTTGGCCTTTCAGTTGTTCGAGATCTAATGGACCGGGGTGAATCCTACCCTGACTTTTTTCTTTTTTATTTGGAATGGCGACATTCTCTACTTTGATTTTTGGTGCATTTAGTGGGGAAATAATCCCTTCCCATAAGGGTTCCGGCCCATCACGCTCGACCTTATTGGCATCGAAAGATTCATTCGAGATGCAGGTCCTGTCGAAGCCTTGGCTGGTGCCCTTGAATCCTCCATGAGGAATAGGATCGTGATAATGGAAAATAGAGATTGCATTTTTATCTTAGATAAGGATAAGGGAGAATATTGGTCAGAACCCTTTTTCAAGGAGTGCTTTCTGAGCATTCCACGTTAAAAATTATTTAAATTTTGAGTTTTTTAATTCTTTTTTTATTTTTTATTTATTTATACAATTTTAGAAAGGTAAAAAATTGAGAATTAATCCAAGATTATAAAAATATAAGGGTGAGGCAAGTGTGGGTGGTGGCGGGGTTCGAAATAGGAGAAAGATGGATGTGGGTGGGAAGTTCGAAGAACGAAAATAAAGTGGGGGCAGAGGATTTCGAATAAGAAGAAAGAAGGTGGAGGGTTCATCGAATAAGGGAGTGGTGCAAGTTGTGGCTGAGGGCGGCGGCAGTGATGGGATGTGAGGAAGAAGAAAGGGTAGGGTTGTTGGTGGGTAAAAGTGGTGGGGTGTGAGAAAGAAGAGGAAGGGTGGGGTTGTTGGTGGATAAAAGTGGTGGAGTGTGAGGAAGATGAAACCTTATTGGTTGGAAAGAAAAAAGAGCTATTTTTTAATTTTATTTTATTTTTTACGTTTTCACTCGATTATTATTTTTTATTTGCCACATCAACTTTTCGGGTGGATTTTAATTTACTTGAAATGAGATTAGAGGGTACATAATTATTTATAAAGTTAAAATGCTAAAGTAAATTTAGCGGACTAGTGCAAGATTTTTTTTTTATGTGTTTTCTCTTTCTTTAAATAACTTTTGCACTTTATTGAGTTATAAAGTTATGGATTTGGTTTTCCAAATAGAGACTAACTTAGGGGTGGGCATTCGGTTTTCGGTTTTAGAAAAGTGTGCACCGTATATTAAACTAAACTAATTTGGTTCGGATCAATTTTTTCTACTTCGGTTCGGTTTAATTCGGTGTTTTTAAATCGATTTTTCGGTGTGAATGAAAAAATAAAATAAGGATAAAGTATAAGATACTTAGAAATTTAAAACTATGTTAAGGAATGATGCGTATCACCATGGAACACTTATTGTGCTAACTAAAAGATTATATTTGTCTTTATCAAGAACATTGTGCCTCCAACTATTTTTCGAGAAAAATAAGTACCTTTACATAATGTACATTGGTAGAAATATGTTTGAGTTTCTCTTGGAAATTAATATTTGAAGTTAACTATTGAATTGTACATTTGTTGTTACATTGATTTGTTCATGAATGATTTAATTGTTAGTTGAATTTTTAATTTTTAGTTAAGAGAATGCCCATATATATATATATATTTGGTTTTTTCGGTTTTGGTTCTTTGGTTTTTGGTTCGGTGTTATTTTTTTGGAAGTTTGATTCGGTGTTCGGTGTAAGGATCTCAAAACTTCGGTGCATCGAAGAACCAAACTTTTATTTTTTTGAAATAAAAAGTATATTACCAAAAACCAAAGAACCAAAACCGAAAAACCAAATTAATTTGATTCTGTTCGATTTTTTAATTTTCGACTATTTATGCCCACCCCTAGTTAATAGATTGTACCTTTATTGGCTTTGAAAGTTTCAATATGTTTTTTCCAATAGAGAAGCACCTTCACTTTTAAATAGGCATTTCTCCTACCGATGAAAACAATCACAAAAACCAACAAAGCTAATTCTGTATTTTCTTGCTCTCCCTTACTCTCTCCTTCTCTCTTTTACCTTCTCTTTTAGTTTAAATTATTTTAGTTTTGTTATCTTATTTTTTTCATTAATAACTTACTAATATTAATAAATTTGCTAATAATAGAGAAGTTTTGTTTAATTTTAGGGAAATGTTTCATTCTGTTTAAATAGTTTCTAGGACAGTAGCCATTACAACTGAAGTATTAGTTTTGAATATATAAAATATTGTTGTAATAATATTTATTTAATTTTCAGGAGTCCGGAGTCAAAAGGACAAAAAAATTAAGCGAAATTTTCAAAAGAACAATAAAAAGTAAAGTTCAAACCAATATGACAGTGAAAATTTTAATTGAAAGGTGTAGCCTGATATGAGGCTTACACCGTACACCTTGTAAGGCGCATGTCAGGCTGCGCCTTACAATTAAAAAATAAATTCATAAGTTGCTTGTACACAAGAAGGCAATGGTTCATCTTAAATGAATTACAGAAAGTTAGTGTTGCATCTATTCTCTTTTGTGCATCTTTTTTCTTTTTGTTTTTTTACTTGATGTTTATGTTTTGTATTTGTATTCAATTTAGATTAATTTGAATTTTCATTTTAGAGATCTTGGTTTGAAAATAAATGGTATTGATAGCCTTTAACTAAAAAATAAGTATAATTTGTACTAATAAATCACACTATAAACCTAAAGAACTCTCTATTAAAAATGTCTTCGAGCTCAAAATCTCTAATTATGATAAATGTATAGAAAAAATCCCAACACAATTTTTGGCGATATTTAGTAGCATCTTCACAATTCAATACATATAAAATAAGTTAGTAAGTGTTTGACAAGGTTAAAAATAACTTAAAATAAGACACATTTTAAATATTAATCTAAATTAAATACAAAACATAAACATCAAAGTAAAAAAACAAAACAAAAAAAAAAAAGATGCACAAAAGATAATAGATGCAACACTAACTTCCTATAATTCATTTAAGATGAACAACCGCCTTCTAGTGTACTAGCAACTTGCACTTTTTTTCTCTAATCGTAAGGCGCAACCTGACATGCGCCTTAAGGCTGCACTTTTATATTAAAAATTTTACACTGTCCGTCTTCCGTTCAAATATTGGCTTTTTGATTTGAACCTTATTATTTTTTGTTGCTCTTTTGAAAATTTTGCTTAATTAATTTGCTCTCTATAATTGAATAAGATGTGCATAATTTAAAATTCAAATAATTCTAAACCTAAGGTAATTTAATTATTAGACTAAAAAGAGAAGTACTGCAGTAATTATTTTTTTTAAAAATCTGAATAGTTTTACAGTTTCTAATACATTGATTACCCTGCTACAAAAGCTTGGATAGATTCCCTTTCCATTGACTATAGTAAAATACTCTTTGTCCCCAATTATTTGTTTACTTTTGAATTGTCATATTTATTAAAAAAATAATGATTGACATAGTAAAAAAAATTTATTTATAAAAATGAACAAGTAAAAAGGAAAAATTGAACGAGTAATTAGAATAGGATGGAGTAAGCTAACACTAGTCATCACCCAAGCAGTGAAGATGTGAGAAAATCCAAATTTTGTCATTAATTGGTGAAGTTAGACTCATTCAACTTTTCCACCTCTTCCTCCATGCATGTTCACATTATGACACATTTCTTCACTATAATGTACTAACTGTTTGTTCCTACTTGCTATGTACACTCTACTATTTACATAATGATGACATATTATATCAACAATATTAATGGTTTGCCTTAATTATTGCAATCTATCTTCTCTTTCATGTGAAGTAATATTATCTCACTTACATAACAAAAATAAAAGAAGAAAATTTGTTCCTTCGATATCCTTTTCACTCAAATTGAGAAGACAAGTTCTTATAAAATACTTGGAAGAAGCTTTTTGAATCCAAGCTAAGGTACTACTATTCCCACTAATCTTGTTTCTTCAATTCATTTACTGTTTTATGTTTAACATATTGTATTAATTTTAGTAATAATTAATTAGAGATGAGATTTTTCTTGTTCTTACTTTTCTAATGAAAGATGAAAGTTCAAAGTTACATTATCTTTATGTGGATGAATATAATTAACAATGTCTCTTTTGAAATTCTATCAATTAATAGAAGTAAAACGATAAATTTATTATGTTAATTTTTAAAAAAAAATACATATGTGCCTAGTAAAAAATGAACAAGTAAATAGGGATAGAGGGAGTATTCTTTTTTTTTATTATTTTGAAATTCTATCAATTAATAGGAGTAAAACAATAGATTTATTATGTTAATTATTATTTTCTTAATAGGTGTGTGCCTAGTAAAAATTGAACAAGTAAATAGGGATAGAGGGAGTATTCCTCTTTTTTAGTATTTAGAGCCTTGACTTTGTAATTTGTATTCCTCTTTTTAGTATTTGATTATTCATGCATTTATGTCAAGTTGAAAATAAAATCTTCTTCCTCACGCCATGTGATAACACATTTGATTGATCAGTTAAAATTGATTGTTTATTTCATAAAAATCACCACACTAATTTTTTCAATCATTTATTAACTTGTTCATAATCTTCATTAATATTAATTTGTTGTTGCATGGCTGGTAGTACAGTACTACTCTTTCTCATCCATAGTAAATTATTGAGGTTTAACACACTTTTTAAGAAAAAATTAACAACATAAATAAATAAAAGGTTACTTTCCGTTATTACTTTTTGATTATTTCTTAACTATTTTTTTAGAAAATGTAAAGTTATATTGAGATTATTATTCTCGATAGATATTTAGGGCTCGTTTGGTGTGAGGGATTAGAAATAATAGTGATGGGATAAGGAAATAGTGATGGGATAAAAAAAAAATTATGTTGTTTGGTTGGCAAGTCCGGGATAACTTATCCCGGGATTAATAATTAGTACCGGGATAAGTTATCCCTCCCCATGGGTGGTATAGTAATCCCGGGATAACTTATCCCGAGATAGAATAGGTAAATGACAAATATGTCCCTTTAAATCCTTTTTATATATCATTTTTTACATTTATGTATATTTACATTTTTTTTAATACCATGTATAATAATATTTACTACTCCTTATTTTTATGATAATTATACATATTTTTCTATTAAAAAATTATACTATATAAATATAATTTTTATTTATGAATTTATTTGACTAATTCTTATGTTTATTTTATTTTGATTTCTCATAAATTTTCTTCTCTTTAATAAACTTAAGAGGAAAGTTCTATTTTTAAGCTAAATAAGAAAAAAGTTATATTTTTAAATACACATGGTACTTATCATGGGAATACATAAACAAAAATATTTAAGTTAAAAAAAATAAAAGTTTTATTTTAAAAAATGAATAACTAAAGCTCACAAAGAAAAATTTAAAAAGTTTAAATAAAGTGAAGGGTAATTTTGTAAACAAACAACTTGTTCTTAAAATTTATCAATATATATTATTTTGAATATAACAAACCAAACACTCAATAAGAAATAATCTCAGGACAACTTATCCCATCATAACTAATCCCAACATAACTTATCCCAACATAACTTATCCCATCATAACTCATATTCAAACCAAACGACCCCTTGGTAAGTTGTCCCTATCCTACGTACCTAACAATCCATAAGTAACTTTTGCACTTTTATTGGCTAATAAAGTTGTGATTTTTTTTCCAAATAGAGACAAAAATAAGAGTTGAAAAATGAGAATTGAGTAGCATTCTCATCTAAGCCGACCACCTGTTACATAAGAATCACGACATTTATTTCAAACCTCTGTTGTTGGGATTTTGATTATTTTGTACTGCAAAAACATATTTTTGGGTTTTTGTACTACTCATGCAGTACATCAATTCCCTTCTCCTCTTCATATTCTTCAAATTCCAACAACCTCCACATTCTATGGGTAAAAATATTTATCTTCAATTTGAATTTCTCTGTAAATCTTGTCCAATTTCACCGTTTCTCGTGGTGGATGAGATCGCAATAACTCACTACCAAGAACAACTGACAAATCCATTTCGGCACGTTTTTCAAGAATCATCAAAAAAGGATTTTTCTTACATTTTTAGGTACCCTTTTATATCTATTAAAACCCATCATGTTTTATTTTATTTTGTGTTTTTGATTTGTAGTGATTGAATTGAAAATTGACAGGGAGAAATGAGTAGAGTTGGTGTAGAATTAATGGAGATTGAAAAAGAAGTAACGGAAGAAATGAGAGATGGTGATGATGAAGTGAAGAGAATTCCTCCATGGACTAAACAGATTACAGTACGAGGAATTGTTGCGAGTGTTGTGATTGGAATTATTTACAGTGTGATTGTAACGAAGCTTAATCTCACTACTGGACTTGTACCAAATCTCAATGTCTCAGCTGCTCTGCTTGCTTATGTGATTCTACAGTCATGGACTAAAATTCTAAAAAAGGCGAATTTTACATCTACTCCGTTTACTAAACAGGAGAATACTATTATTCAGACTTGTGCTGTTGCATGTTACAGTATTGCTGTAGGAGGTAAGATTCTTTTTGTCATTTTGTATGTTTTTAGTATGTTGATGATATGAAATGACCCCAATTACTTGTTTGGAACTGAAGCGTAGTAGTTTGATGATGATATGAGTTTAAATAAAAAGTGAGAATTCATAGAGTCGACTCCAACTTGTTTGTGACCGAGGGCTAGTTGTTGTTGTAGAAATATATCATTTATTTAGTATGATGAGCTTAAATGAAGAAGTGAATATTCAGAACTTTTTTGGGACTGAGGCATGCTTGTTGTTCTAGCAGATATATCTTACTGTGTGCCTTTTTGATTGGCGTGTTTGAGGCATTCGAAATTGGGATTCATTTGTTTTTTTCTGGTTTTTGTTTGTTTGTGTTAATTTAGGTGGCTTTGGATCATATCTTTTGGGACTGAATAAGAACACATATCAGCAAGCTGGGGTTGATACAAGTGGCAATACACCAGGGAGCTATAAGGAACCTAAACTTGATTGGATGATTGGTTTTCTCTTTGTTGTTAGTTTTGTTGGGCTATTAGCTTTGGTTCCTCTTAGAAAGGTATTTTCCAATCTTTTAGCTGTCTTCGTCTTGTTCACTTGTTAAAATACTTAGTAGGCACTTGGACATGAATTGGTCGATATTTGAAATAAATAGTACCCTTTTGAAATTGAAATAATGAGCCAATTTGATAAGCAAACTCTTATTTGAAATAATCTTCAAATATTGTTTCAGATATTAGTGATGATTCATCGCGTATTCTCGTAATCAAATCTTACAAGTATATCTTCTAGGTACACACCTTCAACTGACTCTTGAATTTTTATTTATTTGTTGTGGTGCAGATCATGATAATTGACTACAAATTACCTTATCCAAGTGGAACTGCGACTGCTGTTCTAATCAATGGATTCCATACGCCCAAGGGAGATAAATTGGCCAAGTATGCAAGATTATAATTAGGAGTTAGGACTAACTTGCCATGTGAAACTAGCCTTTCTTGAGATATGAAAATTGTTTTCTTCAAATTTTCAGGAAACAGGTTAAAGGGTTCTTGAAAGTTTTCACATTCAGCTTCTTCTGGAGTTTCTTTCAGTGGTTCTATTCTGGTGGAGATCAATGTGGATTTGCCAACTTCCCCACGTTTGGGTTGAAAGCTTGGAAGCAAACGTATGTACTTGATGATATATGTTTTAGTGACTTATGAATGATTTCTCCAATACAACTAACACTACTTTATACCATTCCAGGTTTTTCTTCGATTTCGACATGACTTATGTGGGAGCTGGAATGATTTGTTCCCACCTTGTGAACTTTTCTTTGCTTCTTGGAGCTGTGCTCTCTTGGGGTGTCATGTGGCCTCTACTTGCTGATCGCAACGGATATTGGTTCTCTTCAAGTTTACCACAGAGCAGTATGAAGAGTCTAATGGGTTACAAGGTTTGTGAAAAAAGATCAAATAAGTTAGGCGCTTAATTTGACCGATAATCAAATAAGCATTCTACCTTTTTTCTCATTAGACCATAAAATTTGTATGCAGGTTTTTATCTCCATTGCTCTTCTCCTGGGAGATGGCCTTTACAATTTTGTCAGGACACTTTATTTCACTTTTAGAAACATATATGCCACGCTGAAAACAAAAAGGCCTGAATCATGTAAGTGCTCTCCTCCATTAGTAATGAAATTTGATGGTAATGTCAAGTGTCAAAGATGTGTGCTCCAACAAAGAAGTTGACTATTCAATGAATTTTATGTTAGCTAATGAGAAGAGGGGCAAACCATTGTCTCCTTTTGTTGAAATTCTATTATTAACACTCTTTTTTCTGGCAGCATCCTCAGAAGTCAAGAATCTTCCACTTGAAGAGCTGCAGAGAAACGAAATATTCATCAGAGAGAGCATTCCCTTCTGGCTAGCTTGTATTGGCTACTTGATTTTTTCCCTCATCTCCATCATTGTCATTCCAATTATGTTCCCTGCGTTGAAGTGGTATTACGTGCTCGTTGCCTATGTTTTTGCACCAGCTTTGAGCTTCTGCAATGCCTATGGTGCCGGTCTAACTGACTTGAATATGGCATACAATTACGGTAAAGTAGCTCTCTTTGTGCTTGCTGCATTATCCGGGAAAGATAACGGTGTTGTTGCTGGACTTATTGGATGTGGACTGATTAAATCCATGGTTTCTATATCCTCTGACCTGATGCACGATTTCAAGACGAGCCATCTGACCCTGACATCCCCGCGATCCATGTTACTTAGCCAAGCTATTGGGACTGCCATTGGCTGTGTCGTAGCACCTCTTACATTTTTCCTATTCTACATATCTTTTGATGTAGGGGATCCCAATGGGGAGTACAAAGCTCCTTATGCACTCATCTATAGAAACATGGCAATCTTAGGTGTTGAAGGATTCTCAGCTCTGCCTCTCCATTGCTTGCAGCTCTGTTATGGTTTTTTCGCCTTTGCCATACTTGCCAACTTGGTGAGAGACATGGCCCCGGAAAGAGTCGGGAAATTGGTTCCTCTCCCAATGGCTATGGCTGTGCCTTTCCTTGTTGGGGCTTCCTTTGCAATTGATATGGCTGCGGGGAGTTTGATCGTATACGTATGGCATAAGCTCAACAGCAAGAAGGCAGATTTGATGATTCCTGCAGTGGCTTCAGGATTTATTTGTGGTGATGGATTATGGATTCTTCCATCAGCTCTACTTGCTTTACTCAAAGTTAGGCCTCCAATTTGTATGGCTTTTACAGTCGGACAGACATAGTGAAATTTCCTGATTCTTGAAACTAAGGAGCAAGTGTTTGCCAAAAAAAAAAAAAACATCTTAGAAGTATAGAAACTGGATATAGCTTAGAAACGTATTTTAAGGATTCACCAAACAAATAGTTTTATCATTTATAGGTACAATATAGAAGAATAGCTAGTCTGATGTTAGCTTACAAAAGGCAGCATTAGGAAAATAACTAACAAGCTTTCTTTTGTCTCATAAAAGGAAACTTGGTTCGATTTAGCACAAAAGGCAGCATTAGGAAAATACCTAACAAGAAAGTTGTCTTTTTTTGTCTCATAAAAAGAAATTTGGTTCGATTTATTGGTCGGTTCTTCACACCCCTAGTCTATCGTCCGATAAGTCATTTCTTCGGCTCATACTTTGCAAAATGATCAAAATGGTATGTTATTATGACCAAAAAAAAATTCACTTTTTCAACCGGCGTTCGATTTTGAAAAATACATTTGGCCTTAAATTTCCAAATTCAACTTTGAAGTTGAATTTCAGAATTTTCAACAATTTGAAAAACAGGGTTAAAAATAACTTCAATTTGTATTCCACCAAATACAATTTCAATTTCAAAATTTATTTTTCACTTTGAAAATAAAAATTATTATTTCACAATGAAACATGACCAAACACCTGGTTGAAGAACTAAAATTGCATAGATTAGATTACTGAAAAATCTTTCCATTAACAGCGAAAGCGTGAGTACGCTTGTTTTTGCGTGGAAACAGAATCTTCTTTTTGTTTTGATTTTAAATTGGAACTGACTTGCTAAGTTGGGGAATTTGAGAACCAAGAATAATTTTTGTGAACCCTCAATTTTTTGGAATTTCGAACATGCATCAAATCGAAATGATGAAAAAAATTCTTTAGATGTGGGACTGATCACAGATCTGAAAGATTTTGATTTCATCACGATACTAACCACTTTGTATTATTGTATCAAATGAACTACGCATTTAAAAGATTCGACCGACGATAGTATCCGTGTTCGGGTCCTACTGAGATCACTCACATCCACAAAATAAACAAGTGTTTGTACTGCTGGAACTGCCTTTAAATGTGTCTTTATCATACATTCCAGAAAAAAATCACTTTCAACTGAAAAATCTACCTTCTGGAATCATCCAAACAAAGCATCTTTAAGCACAATACAATATACAATTCTTAATCACTGCATAACCTAATAAGAAGAAAAACAAGAAGCGAACAGCTAATCATATAATGTCGAAATTTGCAGGTCAAGAACATCTAGTATTTTGTCTGAGTCAATGAATTCAGTCACAGAGCAAATGTAATGACTGTCCTCTCCTCCCTGCATGTTAATCTCAGAAGAACAGACAACAAATCAACGTTCAACACGAAATGCATAAACTTGTTTCGTGAACTGTTCATGCGTTAGTAGTTTCATCAAATGAGAACTGAGTTCATGGGCATCAATGTATAAACAGAAGATGTGGTGGTAATCTCTTCAACCACTATTGCAGATCAGAGAACAATAATGATAGAAATGAATATATTGTATTAGGTGCAAAAAAAGATCAGCCTCCCTCTCTTTAAACTGGCAGGAAGGATTATATTGAATCGGTATTAGAGTTTACATACATCAATATAAAAGAGAAATTACACCAGGATTTTAACAACTGCAAACTGAATGTACGTTTATCCTTGAAATATCTCTCATTTCTTTCTTCCCACACAGCCTGAAAAATGCAGTCAGAATCTAACAGACAATGCTTTAACCATTCAGGGAGCTGATGCCAATGCCTTGAGGTTATTAATCACTCGGCAATAACTAAATGGTCAGCTTTCAGCCTCTACCAGAGGCAGCCACCTGGATCCGCAGAACAATTGAAGAAAATTTACAAAGCAATGAGGAATATACAAAATAAGCTTAACTTTTATAATAGAATAAACTTTGACAGCGAACATCGAAGAAAATTGGATAGACTTGCCTTACCAGGAAACAACGTACAGCATAAGAGCAATACACATAAATACAAATCAGGTAACAGTTCTGCTGGTATCCCAATTAATTAAAACATTTTCACCATATTGCTTAAAGCCCCAGAACTAGACTGTAAATTTTACTTTTGGGCTAATAGGTTTGCAGATTCCTTGGAATCATTAGTAAAAGCACGCTTAAATGAACTAAAATCCAAAATGCCAAATCAAGTTTCTGAAGATAATAGAAGCTGCAATAGAACTATGAACTCTAGATTCAGGGTCATGTAAAGATAACATTTTCAGCTGCAAATGTTACTACATGTAATTTCCTGGTTTTACCTTTTGTTTCGTCTGAGCATAATTTTGCCATCATAATATCAACTTTAAGCATTTACTGTATGTTTTTCTTAAACATTTCGCGCCAAAATTGACCTCACTAATCACCACCATGGAAGATTCACAAATAAGAAGGATTAATAAGTTTAGGTATAGGTATTCACACCATGCATATCAGTAACAAAAAATTAGTGAATTCATCGCTAACTGCCTGGGCAAGTCGAACACCATCCTTCAAGGATTGGAACGAAGGATACTTGGTAATTCTCCTGCTGCAACATTATTGAGCTAACATAATAAGAAGTTCACTTTGAATGAATCAAAATAATAACCAAATGTCAATTTGAGCATTATCATAGTTCCCCAAAAGGAAAGCTTTATATCATTCAAAAATCAAGCTATTATATTGAACAGAAAAAAGAAACATCTGTATTTGGGACGAGGATTACTTCACCATAATGCATAATTACAATTAAATAACCATTTTCCAAATGAGAATGTCAACAAAGGCCAAATTCTAATATACAAAGCTTGAAATGAACGTAGAGCAACTGAATCCTTCGAAATTAATATTATTCTTCAGAATTCAATCACCAAATATAACAAATTGATTAACCTCGTCTTCCTCTTTTTTTTTTTTTTTTAATTGGGAGTAGGAAGGTTATAGGGTCAATCAATAAAACCTGTTTTCTGAAATACAGCATTACGAACACGCCGCAAATCCCTTCCTTTCAGCGTCCGCCCAACGCCTTCAAAAACAGAGAACGTCACGTGCGACTGCGCCACCATCACGTGAGGAGGAACCATTTCCTCCCCTTCCACCTCATCTTCCACCTCATCAAACCGGTCTAACCCACCCACCGGTCCATCCTTCTTCTGCCACACGGGCACGTTCACCGGAGCAGATTGATGAAATTTAGGGTAAGAATTAGGATTCGAATTCTCCGAACGAAACACCGGCGGAATCATCTTAGCAGCAGATGTGGCAGATACAGAAGGGTTGAGGGTAGATTTACGACGGACAAGAGGGTGGTGGTCGTCGGTAAGAGCAGCGGAGAGACCGGAATTGGAAGGTTTGTAGAGGGTAGGGGGACGTTGAGGGAGGTGGCGGGTAGGGGTAGGGGGAGAGAAGGAATTAACGACAGTGGAATCAGGGGATTCAGACCAGAAAACATCGCTCTCGTCGAATTCATCAAGGATGTTGTTGTTAGGGTTGGAGTCAGGTTGTTTAAGGAGACCCATGAAGCGGATGGAGGAAGAAGAAGAAGAAGTATTGGTGATGGGAGAAGGCATGGAGTGTTGACTGAGGATCAATGGTGAGAGAGACACAAAATAGGGGGACTCAATTTCTCTTTCTTCTTTTTTACTCCTAATTGTTATTGTTATTATTAAGATTTATGGTGATAAAAAAGTAATGAAGAAGAAGATAATTATTGGTAATGAGAAAGAAAAAAGAAAAGAAGATGCCATGCTAAAGGACACTAATTCGGTTTCAGCTAGCCACACGTTGGGTCGATGAGGGCAATCATGGCAATCGCCGCCCAACTAATTCTCATGTTACGAGTTAATCACACTTTCCGGCTTTCTAGTATGAATACGGTAATTGGTTTTATTTTTTCGCGGGGCATGTCATCTTATAATTAAAGAATATTTGTTTTGTTTTAAATTTTACATCAAACTAAAATTATACACTTTCTTTTTACGGTTTATATAATTCATTTTTTTAATCGAATTAAAAAAAAAACATTTTTATATTAACGGTCCGAGTGCCCATGCGATATAAATCATAATATAAATTGAAGTTTATTTGGAGATGTAGTAGATATTGAAATTTTGTGGGATTCTATGAGATGTGTCAATTCGAGTTGAGACTCTAAAAGGTGTGCTAAATTTTAATTAGAATTCTTAGAGGCTACTCAACTCTAAACTCTAATTCAGGCATTTACAAAAGCAATTATATTCCCTTTAAAAAACATCTAGAATATTCTACAAATTCATGAAATATTCATAAAGAGATCAAATCGAAATCATCCTAGTTTGAGAAATACGTCACTAACGACCCTCAAATTATGGAGAGATCTTATTACGATAGAAGAATCAAGAGAGGAGCGGAATTGTACCCGCACTATTTGTCAAAAAAAAACTGTGTTGCTTGATATTTTATTTGTGATCACAATTTATTTTTTGTCACTTTAAAATCTGTTGCAAACAAATTGGCACGCCTAGTGGGACCAAATCTGCCCTTCATCTTTTCTTTCACGGATCAAATATGTAAATCTGAAGTCAAAAAATCGTAAAGGTGGAAGCATGAGTACTTCAGGTCTCGTCTTTGAGTTTCATCGAGTTTGCTCTCCGACAAGCCTTGTAGCAGGGAACATTTGTAGACATATTTGTGGGACTCTACAGGACGTTTTCAATTCTAGTTGGAAATAGGGATGTCAAAAGAATATGAAGGATTGACCGATCCGACCCGACCCAATTTATATCATTTTTTTCAATAAAATCGTGGATTTTTATTTAAGTGTACAACCGTCCTGAATAATAGGGATGGTCTTTTTACGTTATAAAAAAAAACCCAAAAAATTCTCAAACCGAACCAAATGACCTTACGTGTATGTAAATATATTTTATATATTAACAATATGTTAAATCTAATATATAAATATATTTTATAATATTTTTCAAATATAAATATAACCTAAGTCCTAGGCCTACAGTGACTGGACGACTTTAGGTCTTTGCTCTTTAATTAACATTTACTTATTATGTTTAAATTTAAAAGATACTATAATAGACACTCCATCAAAGAATATGAGAAAATATATGCAAGCATTCTTATTAAATGTTTAAGATCAAACAATACGACAACAAAGATTGTACATTCTTGACTTCTTGGTGAAGAATTAAAGTGTTTCCTCAAGAACATACTTGCGAAAGAAATGTTTTGAAAATAGTATATTTTGAAGTGCGCAATAGGCATGTTCTGATCAGATGTGATCGGATGGATGATTATATAAAAAATTTATCGAAAAACTCCTACTATATAATTGCTAAGGATGGATATGCATATCAAATGAGGCCTTTTATTTATGATGCAAACTTCAAAGCTGGTGAAGAGACGACAAAGGCTACGATTTGGATTTCATTCCCTCATTTGCTGTCAACATTCTTTGTGAAGGAAGTCTTGTTCTCACTGACTTCTGTGGTTGGGAAGCCCTTCAATTGGATCTTGCTACGATAAATAAGACCCGACCAAGTTGTGCTAGAGTGAAGGTCCAAGTGGATATGCTTACTGAGAAGCCTGAGTTTGTACAAATGCAGTTAGAAGATGAATCCATTCTTGAGAAAAGAATTATTAATATGAGAATACAATATGATTTTTTACCTGCTTGTTGCATGAAGTGTAAATTACAAGGGCATGGAGAAGAAGAGTGTAGGGTCTTACATCCAGAGTTAGTACAACAGTATGATGACACTCAAAATACAACACAGAACATTGACACCACACAACTATACAAGGGGGTAGTAAAGAGTAAATGGAAGCCTTAAAACAGGAGCTTTACAAAGAAAGTTGGGGAACTGATGACTGTTAAGGGACTGGAAAGGAAAGGCATCAACGAGAACATCAATCATTTTGCTATTCTTAATAAAAATGACTAGTGGAGGAGGAGGTCGTAGAGGTAGAGGTGTAAAATCAGAAGCAGATAGATGAGCTGATGGTTATAAGGGTTGAGAGTACACATGGACAGGACTACAAGACTAATGAAAAACTTGAAATGGAAAACAAAGAATATGGATAAATAATTGAAGATTGTGGCAAAAATGATGGGGTTGTTTCGGTTTACAACAAGGATATCATGCTTCTTAATGGATGGGTTAGTAGTGCAATGCAGAGAGGAGATGAAGAGGATGAAGGAACTTCACATAATCATTTGTCTAATAAACTGAATTTACTGAAAGTTGATTATCAGATTCCTTTACAAATTTTGGACCCAAACGAAGCATGGTATCCTGTACAACTACAGGGTTCAATAATACAAGGAGGGATTGAGGAGGTTCATAATATGACAGAGTTGGCAGTGGTCTGTCCAAAATCACCACCAGTTCAAACATTACATGAAATAGTGTCACATCAAGGGGCAATAGAGGTACAGGATAAAGGTCTCACACAGTCTAGTGATGTTGAAGATAAGGGGAAAAGGAAAACCTGCAGGTGGAGAACTTGGTGTTTAATGAAGCAAGTGTTTCACCTGAAACAGTAATCACACATAAATGCAAGAATAAAGGGGAAGTATTACCCACAAGATCAAATCCAAAGAGAGGGGCTAAGAATAGGGTCAAATGATGTTGAAGTCCTTATTTTGGAATGTGAGGTCTGTTAGATCTCAAAATTCATTACATAGAATTCAGATGTTACATAGACATCACAAATTTAATATTATAGCATTTATGGAACCTTTTCAGAATGTTGATAACATTCAAAGATTCAAAAGAAGATTGGGTATGTAGTATTGTAATTATAACTGCAATGGTAAAATATGGGTGTTTATTCAATAACATATTCAGGTAGAGGAGTTGGCAGACTCTGATCAGATGCTGACTCTGAAATTGTTGTTTCTGAAAAATAATCAACATTTAATTGTTTCTATCGTGTATGCAAAGTGTGATGCTGAGAAGAGGATACAATTATGGAATGATATTTATTGTATTAGCAATGATATTCAGAATTCACCCTAGCTGATTAGGGGAAATTTTAATGTCATTATGAGTGACGAGGAGAAGATTGGTGGTCTGCCTGTATATCCTAATGAGTAAGAGGATTTTGCATTTTGTGTGAACTCTTGTGATCTGGTGGAAGTCAATTTCAAAGTGAGTCTTTTTACATGGTGGAATGGGAGGATTGATGATCAATGTATATTTAAAAGACTGGATAGGTACATAATGAACCAAGTTGGTCTTGGCTATTTTGGGTTGGTGGAATCTTAACATTTGGCAAGAACAGGGTCTGATCATGCTCCTAGCTACTAACTTGTGGCCAGAAGACAAATGTTGTTAGGAGACCTTTCAGATTTCTTAAGTTTTGGTCAGAACATGCAGAATTTCAACAGGTAGTGAAGGATAACTAGATTTCAGAAGAAGCAGATGTGTTTATTAGATTGAAACAAAAGATGAAGAAGACTAAAACTGCCTTGTCTAGTTGGAGTAGAGCAACTTTTGGAGATATTTTCAAACAATTATCTATCAGGGATGAGAATGTGAGGGTGAAAGAGGCATTATTTGAAACAAGCCCTACAGCAGGGAATAAAGAGATTTTACAAAAAGCCCAAGCAGAGTTAAAAAAGTATGTGCATTTTGAAGAAGAGTATTGGAGACAGAAGGCAGGTATTCAGTGGTTTACAGAATGGGAGAAGAACATAAGGTTTTTTCACAGTATAGTGAGAGGCAAAAGAAAAAGATTGAGCATAAACAGAATTCAAAATAAGGATGGAGAATGGGTAGAAGGTGAAGAGCTAGTGTCTGCTGCTGCTCATGAGTATTTTCATAAGCAATTCAGAGGTATTCATAATATGGAGGAAGTCCCTCTATTGAGACATATTCAGAAAAGGGTTACTGATGAAGACAACAGAAGATTAAATGATTTTCCTTCAATGGAGGAAGTTAAAAAAGTAGTGTTTGATCTCAATGGGGACAGTGCTAGTGGTCCTGAAGGGTTTACTGGACATTTTTTCCAACAATGTTGGGATATAATTAAGGATGATGTGGTTAATGTGGTTGGTGTTTTCTTTAATGGTGTCACCCTTCCTAAGTCTATTACATATACTAATTTGTACCTACTTCCAAAGAAAGATATTTGTCAATCTTTCTCAGACATGAGGCCAATTAGTTTGAGTAATTTTCTTAATAAAGTGATCTCAAGGGTGATGAATGATAAAGTCGGGGTTTTTCTTCCATCCCTGATTTCAGAAAATCAGTTTGGCTTTGTGAAAGGAAGAAGCATTACTGAAAATGTGTTACTTGCTCAGGAGATTATTGTTGATATCAGAAAAAGGGGTAAGCCAGCAAATGTGGTGATCAAGTTGGATATGGCAAAAATATATGATAGGGTGGAATGGGGCTTTCTTATAAAGGTGTTGGAAGAAATGGGTTTTGACAATAACTTTGTTGATAAAGTCTGGAGACTGGTTGCTAACAACTGGTATTCTATACTTATCACTGGGCAGACTAATGGTTTCTTTCACTCATCTAGGGGAGTGAAACAAGGGGATCCTCTGTCCCCTGTTTTGTTCATACTAACTGCTGAAGTTCTATCTCGAAACTTAAATGTTTTGTTCTGT